ATATTTAAAATAAGAGAAAGATTATCTTCCTTCGTAATCGAATAGAAGATATATTTATATCTCTTTATACGCTCTCAACTATTCTATAATTTATAAATTATATAATAGATATTATAATAATATATTAAATTGCTATCTATTTATCTTAGACTTAATAACGATATATCGAATTTCTATAAGTTATACTCGAGGGTAAAACGTTAGCTAATTATATTAACCTCGATTTCGTTATTAAAATAAATATTAATTAATATTAGACTGAATTCTATATCTTCGATAATTATTTGATTCTTATAGATTAAGCTAGATATAATAAGTACTTCTTTACTTACCCTCGTCGTTATAAAGTCTTTAATAAAAGTTTATTTTTTTTTACTATCTTAGCGATATAAATATTAAGTTTATTAATAAGTCGATAGAAATACTATTAATATTATTTTATTTAGATATCTTATACTTATTAATATAATAGCCTTTCTTATAATAATTATAGCACTTAACCTTCTTAAGATATTTCTTATCTTAAGTCTTTTTATTACAAGATCTAAATATATCTCATTTACGTAAAGTATACACTTTCTTATCCTTATAAGATCGACTTTTATATTTTTTCTAAAATTTATCTCTCTTATAGTTTTAAAAACTAAAAGCTTCTTCGATATAGTAATTATACGAGAAGTATATATTTATTCTACGCTTAATATTCTTCAAGCGGGCAATTAGCGAGATTAACTTATTTCTATTTATTAAAACGATATTTATATTAACGATAGCCTTCTAAATCTTTAAATAAAGTCTTATTATTAATTAAGTAATTTTTTATTATTTATTATATAGCGATAATTAGGCCTTTAATCTAATAAGATAAATATCGAATTAATACACGGTCTAACTAGACCTTTATCTCGTATTTATATACTCTTAATTAATATCGAGTTATCTATTAATAGAATTCTTAATTTTATTAAAAAGGAATTTCTTAAAATAGTTTTAGCTATCTAAGGCCGTAAGATTTCGTTTATTCTTATTATACTATTACTTCTTAAAATCCTTTCTAAGAAATTATATTATCTAAAGAATTTTATTTCTTTCGATTTTAAAATTTCGAGAGTTAATATAAAACGCTATCTTAGCGTTATAAGTTTACTCTTAATATTTATATATAGATTTATTATAATATAGATTTAGTTTTTTCGAATAAATATTACGAGAATATCTTAATGTATAAATCGAAGTTTCTTTTAAGATACGTTTTAATTTTATATTAGAATCTAGGCTGCTTTCGCGCGATAACGATAACGACGTATTAGAATCGCTTAAATATAATTATTATATATCTTACTATATTTAAAAATATCGATTTCTTTATTAAGAGCTATAAGACGACGTCTTTTTAATAGTAAATCTTAACGATAAGTACGCTACGCTATTTATTTATTAATATCAAAATTAATAATATCGCTATCACAATCCTCTAGTTAATCGACTTCGTTATTACTTATATAATCGAGGTTTATTAAATTTATAATTCGAGATTACATTTCATCTAATATCGTTCAAGATACGAAAGATTTATTATTATTCTTACTTCGTTACGATTATAATCGAGTAGCGACTACTATACTAATTTCGAATTACTATTCCTTAAAGAATAGAAGAATTAGAATTATTAAACTTATATAATTAAGTATAAGTAGATCTAGAGTTATATAGCAATATAGATTTAGTAATAGATATATATATATTTATATATATCGATCTCGTAGTAAGACTAATTCTTATAGAAGCAAGAAGTAAGAAGGAAAACGGGGGCATCGCCCCCTTAAGCTTCTGTGCCTAGCCTACATACGCTAAGAGTCTTAGCTACGCTACGACTTCGCCCGGTAGCCAAGTCCCCTTTAAAAACCTCAGCTAACACTCATAATGGACCCACTAACCCACAGTCCCACTGTTGCGAGTAGTAGTGTCCCGCGCCCGCATAAGCAAGCCCTAGCGGGATCCTTCACTGCGAAGAATCTCGCCGGGATCCACATCACAATGCACGCCGCAGGGCTGCAACGAGCACAAAAGTCACAAGATAGCTGAATCGATGACAAACACATATCACTGCATTTGGCTAGTCATCGATCTTGCATTTGACAAGCTCCACAATTGCCTTCCTGGGTATCCCATCGTCTGGCAAGCTGCGTGTAAAATGTCTTGGCAGAACATCAAAAATGCCATACCTTTGCTACGCATTAACTTTTTAATGATAAGCTTTACAGTAAAATATTCTGCTGCGAAGTTTGATATCTGCTTGAGAAGAACAATTGCGAAACTATAAATTTTTTCGTGGGTGTCCTCGTTGTTGAGTTGCGATAGGTTGTAAGAAGGGACTTTTTGATGTTCGGGCAGAACCCCTGAATTTTACACGCTGCCAGTCGATGAGATAAAGCCGATGGATTAGGGTTGTCCTCAGCTCGTATCTCTCTGCAGTCTCCGCACAGCTGAAGCATCCGACCTCTGAAACAATCTAGCGCGTACACAATCCCGACATCTCAACTTTCCGGCTAAGCTCAAGAATACCGCAAAGGGGAATAGCGAGAGGAAATTGAGTCTTGGCGTTTCAGGATACTGCCTACAGGGAGTTTTCCAGTGTTGGGATTGGGTTGAACGATCACTACTAGACCGGTCAAATCCCATGTACGTGCCCGCCTATAAACCTGCAAATACTAGTTGAGTACTGTACTGGTGGTCTGGAAAAGGCCCAAGAGACGAATCCTCACCTGGACAAATAGAGCCGCAGTCCGAATCCGATTCCTCATTATCCCTCAATACTCGATTGCATTCGGGACGAAGTTAGGGAGACCGAGTGCGCGATGGCTCGATGGTCTCGTCATCCAGATTGCATTTTGGATCCCATTCATCTATCCTCTTCACTTTCTGTATCCAAGGAGTGTAAGTAGTGAATTCTTCCATGAATCTTGCATTTTGGATCTCATCTATCTGTTCTCTCTCTTCACTTAGTGTAACTCAGGGGTGTGGATAGTGAATTCTTCCATTATTCTTCAAGCATACATCAGAGTAGCAACTCAATTATAGCTCTGTGATGTCTTGGAAGAGAAAATGAAATCGGCCCATGTAGCGTTCTCGGTTCAAGTCTCAGTTGAAAAGTGATGGGGACCTTTGGCAGAGTCAGAGCTACCTTACGCCATGTCCAGCTTGATGTGTATGTTAGGACGATATGATGCTCTGCTTAGTGACTAGTGTCCATAGGCAGTAGGACAGTGATTGCTCCAAATGTTGATCCTCCCTGACAATGGCATCGTTCGTTCTGCCGATCAGCAATTCCTCGTCTTTGGGAGCTCATGGCAGGCAACTGATCAGTTGGGCTGGCGGGTCTCTTGCATCATAACCTACTGCTAAGAAGACATGTTCGTGCGTTCCAGAAGTGAGCTACCTGATAGAGCGAGGACACCAATGAATCTTTTTACTTAGTGGGATGTCGCTTGATCTATTGGTGTCCTCGCTCTATTAAGTAGCTCACTTCTGGAACGCACGAGTAAGTTGAACAACAAACATGTACCGATGGTGGTACTTGTAGACTATGAGACTAAAGGTCAAATAAAGTCCCAAACGCTCTTTGAATGATTTTATCAAAGATGAGGCGACTTGGTGCTGTTTTAGGTCCTTCTGCTTCCTATTTCAAGCCCCCACCAAAACCGGGCGCAGAGCCTTGCATAACCCTCACAGCCATTGGAGTCGCTAAATCAATGTGGAAGACCCTGCAGTGAGAGGCCGGCTGGCAGGACACCTTTTTACCCTATGAGTTACCCATCAAGCTTTCCGCAATTCGTACGGCGTACAGAGGTCTGCACCGAAAGTCCTGCACCCACACTAGTGCAGCCCTAACCCTACTTTCGGAAAGCGGCCCTGTAGAGGGGAAGCCTAGAAATATCTTCTCACAGCGCATGGATGGGACTTTAGGTACTTCTTTTGGCTTGATAGGGGCATTAAGCCCCGAAACCTGGCTAGGGCTAGGTGCGATTCCGAAGAACTCCAGACGTATTGTCCAGGTAGCCCTTTAGGTGGGGCGTTATCCGAAGTCTGAGCGCAAGAGTCTTGGCGGGTGCAGGACTTTCGGTGCAGACCTCTGTACTTGTAACGTCCATGATCGGATAACGAGAATGACTGGGCTTCGAGAATCTTGGTAAGCGCATACAAAATTTAGTAGTCTAACCGCATATAGCATAGATTTGTCAGCAAGGGTCTTTCTGCAAAACAATAAAGTTCAATTTGGGGGGGAAAACAGTCGTATTCGGGCGACGTTCTCTGTATAAAGCGATTTGTTCTCCGAGGGGCTCAATTGACTCAATTGACTACCATATGGGCCTATTGAAGGCCACTCCATGGATAAATACATCATTGTTTTACTACATTACACATGGTTTATGGACTGAAATAGCGGAGAAAGGTGGCTAGCAGCAGCTTTATTATGGGGAACACTAGTGGTAGCCCTACCAAATTTGACCAATTATCTCTATGCGCTAATGTTAGTATGCTAAGATTCTCGAAGCCCAGTCATTCTCGTTATCCGATCATGGACGTTATCCCTTAACATCTGGAAACAGAACCAATACTGCTCGTACTAGGTAGTACATACGACTAATCTTTCGCGAGCAAGCGACCCGATACAAATTGTAGGAGTTTATCAGGACTAGTGAATCTATCTGCTATTTTCCTATGCCCTTGTGCGCGCAGCGGTTTTGGATGCATGCCATGTGTGACAGCTTGCAAGAAAGCCCAGAATAGCCAAGCCACAATGCTGCCCTCGTTCTCGGTCTTGCGACATAAATGATACAGGTGCTGCTCCCGTATATAAGCGCTGCGCAGTGCGGGGGGTGCATGGTGCTGCGTCCAATCAGAAACAACACTAAAGCCCGAGGCTGCGGCCATTCTTATCTCTACGATTGAACCCATCTTATCCCGCCTTGCTAGCTTTCAAAAAATCAACACGAAGCATGCCCGTTCCATACGGAGTGGGAGTCGGCGACTTCGTCGCTGTAGGTACCGTAGCATGGAGTGTCTATAAGTATTGTAGGTCCGAACCCTTTGTAGGCCGCCAGCCGACTAAACAGTGAGCAGGTAAAGCGGCCCCCGGGAGCTTTGGTAACATCAGCACAGAGGTCTTGTCCTTGCACGCTGTGCTGAAAGAGAGCGAGGAGACACTTTTCACACATGCCTTGCCGCCTGCGAGGGCGGAGAGGCTCAAGGTGATCAAAGACGGATGCGACACAGTCCTTGCAGACTTGCAGACCCTTGTTAATAAGTATGAAAGTCTGGGCACCAAGAGTAAGCAAACATGGGACCGAATGAAGTGGGGCAACGAAGACATAGCCGAGATCCGAGCTCGTCTTACCTCGAACATCACCATGTTGACCGCCTTCATCAGTACCTCTCAGATCAGTGTTGAAACCAAGCTCGACAAGTTCATAGAAGAGTTTCGTCAAGGAAAGAGGGAGGCCTCAGTTGCCTCGCTCCAGACTGCGGACAGCCTCTCAGCCGACGACAGGGTGGTGTGGCGGACCATTCGCAAGGAGCTGGAAGATATTGGCATTAGCGTGGCTGCATTCGACGCGAATCGAGGTTTCATCTTCGATTGGTTCGTCCGCGCAGTAGAGACAGGGGCGTTCGAAGAACAAAACGAACACGGTATTGATGAGGAGAGCAGTTACAGCGACGAGAGAGAATCCTGGAGCAACCTCGAGCAGGTTCGTCGAGACACGGGACGACAAATCGAGCGCGCTGAGTCTGAGTCTCTTGGAAGTATCAGCGAAGACCAACCGCTCGCCTTGGCACAGTCGTCGGGGTCTGCTCTTAACGCAAAACCCATTGTTCTCGAGCGTAACCCTAAGGCGTCCGACCGGATCTTCGCCTCTGCGCGTACGCCGCCAAGAGATAGAACAAACACTTCCCGTGTTGCAACCCTCTTAGCGAGAATACCACGTCCGAGACGACGACTCATCAAAGCTGTGGATATAGGAGATGTTTCTAAAGCGCTTAGGATTCTCAAGAGTGAGGCTTTGTTCCACGTCCTCGACCTAGAAACACTAGATGAGGCGCTGTGGAGTGCTAGCCGTCTAATCGATGATTTTGATCCTTGCCCTTTAATTGCTGAGCTCATAGCCAGAGGAGGTAACGTCAACTATATAAGAAACGACATTCGTGGAGAAAGTCCTCTTTGCAACAGTGTTGAAAGCAACTCATTCAATGTCGTACAGCTCCTCGTCGAGAACGGGGCTGATGTTAACGATATAGAACTCCCAGAAAAACGTGGATCGGCCAAGTCTGCTCTTCGAGTAGCGTTGACCAAGAATGTAGCCATCTTGCGGCTTCTGCTTTCTGCAGATGTGAACGTCAATCAACAATACCGCGAGACCTCTAGTTGCTTCCCCGGTGAGGTTACCCTCATTCAGGAAGCAGCATCACTGGGAGCGGTCCCGGCCATAGAGCTGCTACTCGAGTTTGGTGCGTTTATCGACGCTGTTTCTCTAGTACATGGCACTGCACTCATGATTGCTCTCTCCGAATCAAAAGCAGAAGCTGCACGGCTTTTGCTTGACAAAGGTGCAGATGCCAATTTTGGGAAGGCCTCAAACACAATGTACTATCCATGCAACCACTACTATAGGACATTGGACCTAAATAAGTACAGGAATCCAATCGAAGCAGCAATATTTGGGTGTGGAGACTCCATGGTGCAGCTTTTATTAACTCATGGCGCAAGGCCAGACGAGAGCACACTGAGGTACGCGCGGAAGGATTGGAGAAATTTTGGATGATTATCATGATGCTTGAAGATGCATTGCGTGCAAGCAGAGCCGCGCCACTTCTTCCCTCTTCGTAGACTGAAAGGGTCTTGGAAAACAAGTTCTCGAACTTGCTGGCATCGCGGAAAGACGTCTGAGCCGTACAGAAGCTGTCTCGGGCGCTATCAAGTGCAAATATGCCGGGTTATGCCTTAGTTGCGTCTTCAAGTATCATGGTCCAACGGATCCGTGTCAGGGTAAAGAACAGAGATATAAAAAGAGGCCGAAGGCAACGAATAAGGGCCCCTTGACGCACTATTAGGGAATACAACAGTATATTAAGAATTAGGGGTCGGACTCGGAATGAGTCTGAGCATATGGTTCTAAGTCAGAATTCACTTTCTTGCCTTGGTATACCTTTGGAGATGGCGCAACTTATAGATTCGATCGGTCGGCCAACTGAATAGTGGGAACCAACACGGCAAAATATCCATATGGATGGTTAGAAAGCAAAGTCTACATCCCGTCTCCATCCTCATCATGTAGGCTACATGTTCTTACCTCTTGCGCTTCTGTCCATACATGCCATCCCGAGTTACCTAACCTGGTACCGCCACCTCCATTTGAACCTCACCACCCTCTTGCATCGACTTAGTCGCCAAATTCCTCCACGTATTCATCTTGAACACATCACTCTCCACAAACCATTCCTCAACTTTCACGAAGAGGGTCACGTTATCGTCACAAACACCGACGACATCCCCCACAACTCTGCGACTGGAAAATGTCAAAGCTGGCTCGAGGTGTCACGACAGGGCAACAATGCCATTGAATTTGACCAGGAGGTAGAGGCACCAGCACAAGAGTCGAAGCCAATATTGCCCTCAAATTGTCAGAAGAAAAGTGCTTGGCGAGCAGCAGCCATGGTACTTTACAATGATATAGAGTCTGACTGCTAAAAGATAGCTAACACTTACGCAGATTTCTGCTCATGATAGAAATAGATTCAGACTGGATCAAGGAGACGAAGAGGATGTGTCGGAAGGACATAAAGCGATACGCAAAATTTTTAGAATTGAAGGAACGGGTACGTGCGCTCTAACCGTAAGATACTACCTACATCTGACCGTAAGATATCGGCAGCCAAAACCCCTTGGAAAACTCGCGCTCCCGGTAAAGCTAGACGTCTACTCGGCCGTGATCCAACGTGGCAAGCATGACGTGGCGAGCCAGCAAGTAAGAAGCGGCAGAAGGCCAAGAAAAAGGCATGCAGCCTCCCCAACCTTAGGATACCCACCATGGCTGGCCACTGATTGTGGAGAAAACAGCAGGCAGCCACCTTTAGAGCGTCAACTGGCCAGACTCTCGGAGAAACAAAGCAAGCGACTACCTCGAACGATCGACCCGGCCAAGTCGAGCGCCCAAAACTCTCCCTACGATCGCTCCCATACGTCTACACGGATCCCGAGCCACTCCTATGCGCGAACGAAGACAAGCTGCAACACGACTCCATGCGCAGAGAGCACTCATTGATCCTCAAAGCGGCTCTTCCCTTGACCCCCGCCACGTCCTCGGAGCTTCCGATCCGCACCACCCGAGACACATCATTCGACCTCCCGATCCGCAACCACAGTGGTCGGTTGCTCGAGCTCTTGGCGATGCAAGAGCAAGACCGCGTTCCAACGTGGAGAACTTGGGTGGCGAATAGACCTGGTGATCTACACGTAGCTGAGGTGAAAGATCGGAGCCAGGCTAGGGAGAAGCAGGATGCAGCTTTGCCGAGATGGCAATGTACACATCCAATCGGACCACTCCTGTAAAGCCACAGACCTCATATCATTCTCTGGTGACAGTAGTTGTCGATAGATGTTGAATTGAACGGTGCTGAAGGATGAGTAGTGATTAGAGCTGAACCATATAGAAGCCACCGGTTGCTGGAAGAGGCCTGTCGCCAAGCTTCATAGACATCGATTCATGCGGCGAGAACGGGGGTATCGGGCAGAAGCTTGCCCGTCGCCTCTTGTGCTTCTGTTCAAGAGCCTCTTTACTTTTGTTGATTTGTCAGGTTGAAGCGGCATTTAGATGAGAGATTGGGAGTTTCAGTGAGAAAGGTCAACGACTGCTCAGATAATCGCAAGAGTAAGGTACTATCCTAGGCCCCAGTCTGACTAGCTAATCCATTCGTGTGGAAAGAAAGTGAGAGACCTGCTCTTGGTTTCTAGAATCCCTTGAAACCGACCAGTGCATGAATGACCTAATGAGCGTGGATATCATAACCCAGGGCAGCGCCTCTCCAACTCAATATCCTCCTTCCCATTCTGTTTCCAGCGATACTCCCACCTTCTCACAGATTCCCCTCATTGCCTCGCCACCATCTTCGATGAGGTTGGTGCGAAAATCTAGAATCATGACCTTGTTGAGCTTAGGCAGACGCAGGTCTTTCTCCTCCGCGAAATCGACAAGTAAGTCCGAAGTGTGGCCGGAGACACCGTCCTGAAAGATCCCTATTCTTTCGATGGAAGCGGGCATGACGTATACCAGAGGCTGAATTTCTTTTCGATCGGATCCCCTACCAGGTGACAGGTCACGATAAGAGAGCAATTCGGTATAGATATCGCCCTGAAGATAGAATTGTTTCAAGACCTCGAAGCCTTGCAAACATGGATTCTTCATATCGTCATTCCCTTCGTAGCTCCCAGTAAGACTCAGATACTCCAGGCTGTGTTTTGCGTATTGATGGAGTGCGGCGACTATTTTGCAGGCTTCCATTCTCTGGTTCCAGCCTTGCTTGTACTCGTAGGTAAAATGTGTCAGTGCTTTGATTCCAATCAGCAGTTGCGCTACATTCTTGGCATAGACTGCACTTTGTCGAAGAAGGATCTCAGTGACGTTGGAGGTGTCTGTCCAATTGGTAAGGGGCTCATCGTGACCTTCCACGAACCTTCCTTTTATCTGCCGTAAAGATGGAAGCGCGGAAAACCACCCAAAGGCTTCAAAATTCTCACCCCCCCACACATTGTTGTCAGACCCCAGAAAGGTAATTACGGACAGTTTCATGAGAGGCTTTCGTGCCCCCGGACTCCGCCGCACGTTCAGCTCGGACATCGGACCGACAGCAGGATGCAGGTAAAGAGCGCTCAACGTGAATCGGTCGAGACACAACTCCTCCAGGTTAGGTATGAATAGAAGTAGAAGACCAAGCATTGCACTTCTCTCGCCTCTAACGGCTTCGATACACATGATATCCACGTCAAAATGGGTTGGGCACGGAAACCCTAACTCCACATATTTGTCTTCAATGTCGCCTTGTATGACTTGCATGGTAGTGTCGTTAATGATATCATCCTCCCTCTTCTCAGCCTCGTACATTCGAATATCTTTTTCATCATGCTGATCCTCAGGTACAAAATCAGGACCCAAAGGATGGTGGCAACACTCGATCATAAGAACTTTCGGATACTCTCCGATCCTCCAATCCGTACAGATATCCTGTATCAGTCGCAACGGATGAGCGTTATCTGCATGGCGGTGGCAACCATGTAGTACAACGTCTTCATAAGTCGTCTTCCGCTCCAGGTGGAGTGACACGGCGTCCCTGGCGACACGGTAGATGCGCAAGCGAGAAAGCGAGAAGTTGATGATGTCATCAGGATGGATCTGGTCGACGATCTTATCGAGGATCTCATTTGGGAGGTCGAGGAGCTTAGGCATCGTCTGCTGGGTCCTGCTGCGCTGTGCGTGGGTAAGAGTGTCGCGTGTAGGGACAAGGCCACCAGCGGCGTTCGTCACCCGTGCTGGTAGGTGGAAGTGTTTGGGGTGCTGTAGGAGTCAGAGGAATCGTTGTCTGGCTTGTAGCACAAGGAAAGGCTTCAATTTGCATGTTAATTTAGCATCGAAGCGAAGTCAGAGCCGAGCCTGAGGCCATGTACCTTGAGCCAGTGTTGCTTTGATCCAGATGGCGTGAGGCAGAAATTTATGCTGGCGAGAGTGATCAAATCTAAGAGTTATGGTTATGGTGCACAAATTTGGTGGGGGAGGATGGGGATGGAGACGGGAGCGGAGTGTTGACCTGCATCCACTAGCGCGCTTCGCGTTTAACACCTTTTCTTTAACACTTTTCTTCAACACTTTCCTTCAACACTTTACCCGTCTGGCTTAGCAGCTAGAGTCTTGTATTATTCGTTTGAATACTTTGCTTCCGAAGGTAAAGACATTCCAAACGAGCCCACAGTACTGCCTTCCCTAAAGCTGCTCTGACAACTTCACAATTTGTAGGTTCCAGCATGAGTCCATTCGAACGTGTACTCAGGTAGACTTTTGCACGACATAGGCACTATCAAGACGGGTTTCCGACCAACATGTTCTGATGTTGCGGTGAAGAAAGCAATCTTCAATCCTGAATCGGTGTATTATGCAACGGATCCAGCATTCGATCTCTCATCCAATGCACAAAAGCCTTTCCATGCGGCCTAGTTTCAAAGCCTCCACTCCATACCGGCCGCCACATACTTACTGCTCCGTAAAATACCAAGGCTTCTTATCGCCGTATGCTTCCCCAGGGACCTGCATTGGGACCGGGACGATGCCCTCAAACTCTTTCAGACCACCATGGTCGCTACTAGACACACTCAGACGGGCTGGCAGAACCACCCCACATTCCCAATTGCGACAATTGAGCTTGGGCTCTTTTGTTGCCCGATCCTTGAAAAGCTTGCCCCACGCGCTCTCCGAACAATTGGCTGACCCGATGTACGCCCAGGACTTGGATGGGTCGTCTTCCGACCGTACGAAAAGTAGCTAATGGTGTTAGCACAATCTTACAGCGAATAGAAGGGCATTCGAACCATACCTTGTTATGCATAAGCATACCAGGCCGTACACTCTTGCAGTCCCGTAGGATTTCCCGCGGGAAACTCGGCGATTTGTACCATTTGGACTGGAAGCAAATAGTACCTGCTGAGCCCGCGGTTGAATTCTTAACGGTGTCGTGAGTAGGGTAGTAGACCTGGAAATCCTGTCGTAGACGGGACCGTAATCGCTCGCTCACACTGTCAGTTGCTTGTATATCCTCATGCGCCGTCTTTTTCTTCCTAGATGTAACGGGTGGGTTTCGCCAACTGTACTCTGTAAGACCGTCATCACCCTGAGCAGCAAGGTAGAGCATCGCTAAGAAGTCGTCATTGAGTGACCCGACCGAAGAAGTGACGAATCCAATGTGGAGGGGCTTGTCCGTTGCAAGGCCCAGTTCCTGCACAGCGCGACCCAGTCCACAATAACCAGTACGCTGCCACAAATCTCCAGAATGCGTACCCCCAATATTATGAACGAATGCGACATCTTTGGTTAACGTGAAGTCGAAACTGTACATGCTGTCGATGATGCTCTGCTCAAGACCCATAGCTTCCAAAAAGTAGATCAGTTCCTTGCCGAAGAATGTCATGTCCTCTGCTTTGGTACATTGACCTTTAGGCAGACGTGGCATATCGACGATGAAGACCATATTCTCCATCTGCGTGGATTTCAGAGTCAGCTTGGGCTCAACAAGGCAATGATCTGAGACGGGTATGGGCTGTCAGAAAAGGCCTTCTACTCCTTCAGTAGGTGCAAATCGACCGGCTCTCGAAAGACAATACACGTACAATGCCGGTTTCACCCCAATCGTACGAGACCAAATTAGCGGTTGGAACCGCCACTCTTAGGTGATGAGGATGAGAAAGCAGCATAAGCTTCGAGTGCATGCAACTGATCTGGCCCTCCATGGATGGAAAACAAAGCCGTAGATTTAACATTGCTGCGGTTTCACGCCGGTACTGCTGCTGAGTCGCCTGATCCTTAGCCTGCATTACAAGCGTAATGTGAGTACTTCTCGTATTGATTTTTGCCAGAAGCCAGTCTATGTCCCACTGGAAGGAACTCAGAACGGCCAGATTAAGTTCATCTTTTTGTAGAACTTCTTCAAGTTTGATGTCATCGCCTTTGCGTTCATGGCCGAACGCCCAGGTCTTCTTGACTGTTCCTGCAAGAAACACAGGACCCTTGCCGTTAGAGGGGGACGAGGCTCGAGATGCTGGGGCAGCCTGATGTGCTGTTGCTGTTGTCTCTCTTGCCGATACCGATCCTATAAGAGGGCCACTTGCCCATGTTCTACGGGGTGGTGGAGGTGAGATTGACGGCGCTTTTCTCTTCCTACCCAACCGCTCCTGTTCCATTCGCTTACGGTCTAGGCCCGATAGATCTAGTCCGGCTCTTATGTCTGGACACTCTTTGATCACTTCTGCACGGCTAGCTGTCCTTGTGGGCCTTGTCTCTGTTTCGCTGTCGCTGTCGAGACTGATAGCTTCACGTGCTGTTTCTCCTGCGCCGCCGGTGGTTGGATCCTGAAGGGATAATGCTATGGCTCGCTTCAGGTCCTCGTCATCATCGGAGGATGCCATGATGATATGCAAAAGCGCGATCAAGATTGGTGTGATATCCTTCGTGCCTTGAAAAGGTCTCGTGGATGTTGAGTCATTATTTACTGCCCGATTACGTAAGATAAAGGATGACTTTTGATTGGTGCACTTGTACTAGAGAGAGGTCTGTATGCCGAGGTTTCGCCGTGATAGGCGACCTTGCAATCGACTTACCCAGACTTCAAACTCCAAAAGATAGAGGCAGAGACTCTTAGCTATTTAAGTTCTTCTTTTGAAAAACTCAACGCAGGTTCTGTGACGATGTTTGAAAGCAAATGCAGGAATTCTTCAATTTTCTTAGCCCAATCACAATAAGCGAGGCTTAATGGTCAGACTTCTGTCTGTAACCTGAGCCAAAATTTCCCCGACAGACTACTTCTCCTACTTTCTTCACCTGCTATCTCCTGAAACAAGTCGATAGCCCAAGCACTTGGACATGAATGTTATGGTACATCTGTCTGGAGGAAGTAATCCTTAACGAGATTGTGAGCATCAAGTTCATCTACCTCTCTTTTGGTCATCTAGCTAAGCACTGACCCTCCCCCACAGTCATCTGTCAACAAGAAAGGCCCGGTCAGGACCAGCTCCCTCTCACTCCCACAGTCTTCCGCCGCCATTCTAAACCCTCGATTTGGCCGTATCATTCTTGTCTCTCCCACCTCTACAATGGCTACGAGTCTAGAGAATTTCGATGTCTGCGTTCCAAATGACAAAGCCAGCCTATACAAATTTTCTCGAGAAGTCCGCGACGAAGTCTACCGTTACCTTGTCAAAGGCACATATATCATCGCTGTACCGCCCAGTCTGACTTCCGCAGCCAGGTTCACCGCTACCGGCGGTGTAGGATACGATCCCGATGGCGCCGACTTCAGCATCCTTCGAGTCTCGAAAACTCTCGGCCAAGAGGCGATTGGGGTGTTGTACGCAGAAAGCATCTTCGAGTTCTACCTCAACTTTTCTGAAGACGGACCGTGTACACAATACGCCATAAAAGTCACTGGTCGCATGATGAGGTTCAAGTACCAGATGTTTGGCCTCGGCGCCCCCTTCCAGAGCCTATTCGACCTTTCGCGCCTGTCGCGACCCTACTTGGAGAACATGAAAGATATCTGCGACAGTACCATCGACCATTTCACCAGCACGGACATCACGCGCCACTCTATGCAGATCATACTCCGTGTGACCAGGGAGCTCGACGACACGCTATCGAGTCCACTGTTCCTCGCCATGAAAAGGCTTGAAGGGTTCCGAACATTAAGGGTTGAACTCCGTTCGTCTTTACCAATTTTCGAGAAAGGACCCCCAGCACGCAAACGACCACTTGAACGAGGGATTACAGTCGGTCGAGGCACATCTTGAACCTTCATTGGGACCTGCTACCCTAGGATACTTTGCCGGTCCTGGCGACTTCGATTATCATAGCTACCTCACATTCCACCCGCACCAGCACCTGATCAACAAGCTGGGGAGGGAGGCGAAGTGGGAGGGAGGAGGTATCTAGAAGATGGCGCTGGAACTTCCCCAGCAGCAGACAAAGTTTGAGTAAGACCATTAGCTAGAGGAAGAAGAGTATGTATGGGTAATGAGCGGCAGACACACAAGCAATTGAAAAACTCAAAGAGATTTGCCCGGTGCGATGGTAGCCGAGTTTCGAAAATGTGATTTTGTAAGTAGTACAATAGCTCGATCTTGTGGCAACGGATAGGAATATCTGTCAATACGTCATTCGAGTTACGACGCGCCTTCGGCCCTGCCCTCCATCTGCCAGGTCTTCAATTGGTCTTGGCATCGTTTGCAGTCCATGCTACTGTTCTTCTATCGGGTTTAGATGTCTGCTGTCGCCGAAAGACCATGCTCATACTAATGTGCTGTCCGGGCCTAACAATTGCTGTCCAAGGTTTTGCGAGGCTGAGGTCATGTTTCAGTCTTGTATCCTCGAGGGCGAATTGGCCTTTCTCTATCTTGCGGAGGCCTATGTCCCTAAAACGGCCTTTCAAGATGGCGATAAAAGCCTGCAACGCCAATCTCAGGACTGCTGCGTGAATTTGGTTCCGCAAATCAGGAGGGAATACGTACCTCGGCGGAGTCGATGGATTCAAGATGAAAAGGAAAAAACCGCCCGCGAGCATCAAGCAAGATGACTGGTTTCGATAAAAGGACCCGGGCAGGTATTTCCTTGTCCACCCTAAGGATAGTGTGAACGTCTTGTAGCTTTGCTAGCATTTGCTCTTGATTCTCTATTATTCTATGGCTTTGAGTAGCACCATCAAGCAAAGTTGGAGCATTTGCTTCTGGAAAGGCGTCGAACCTCTGCGAAATGTCAGATACGGAGCTTCTGGCCTCTTACACCAGGCATATAAAAAATACGAACTCTGCAAGGGATCGCTGTAAGGCCAAAATGGCTTCTACTTGGGCGTTGGCGTTCTGGACATTGATGCCGATCTGAGTTGCAGCGGACTGCTGAGACGGGAATGCTCTTTCTTGATCTCGTGCTTGAAAGTGCAGATGGTCTCTGACCTCGGTATGCTGAGTGCTCATCGACCGCCCTAGGGATGCCTGCTGCTTGATGATCCTCTGAGTGTTAAGACAAATCCGTTTCGCAGTGTCTCGCTGGTCACTAAGCACACTTTTCATTTCCAGTTGCTGGGGGCCAAAATTTGATACCTAAGCGCTGATGGTCTCAGACAGAGCTTTGTGGGCGTCACTTTGCTTACTTCGATAGGTCAGTAAGAGATGTATCATACGCATGGCATGCCACTACACTTGTAGCTTAGCCAGCAGCATCCCGATGGCTCCCGAATGGTACTGAACCTGATCTCGGAACTTTCGATGGTGCGGTGTGGAATCAAGAAAACCTGAAAAGGAACGCTCAGGGTTGAACAACCTGGATCAGTACACCAACAAGAATCAAAGCTCGAGGCTCGGCCAGTATGAATGGCCTCCCTCATACCAGAATTCACCGTTCCACGTTATTCGGGATAGGCAGCTCCTACATTGACATAGCAGTGAAATGTTGACATTGAAATTGGGAGCTTCGTCACTCATTCGATCTTGGCAAGGTTTACGTTGTAAATTAGAGTTGGCCGTTGCTTGTTGTATCATCTAGCGCTAGCTCACCTGCTAGTGGTATTATTATTTCCCGTTGATTTGTCGTGCAACCGTAACTTATTAGCTACAAAGTATTCATGGCAATATCCAGCCAGCCGAAGCCAAGCTCCAAGTGACAAGTCCACACAGAAAAGCTTATGAGCTGAAATCCTGTATCATACTATCCGTCTCGTATCAGCAGTGCAAGTCAGATATCCTTAACACTCCAGGGATCAGAGCCGTGTGCCTTCCTCTATCTGCCTCGCGAACCCTAGCTCTCTCCAGACAATAGATTCGTGGACCATCCACAATACATAGCAGGCGGACGCCACCTCAACTGGGGAAGACTTTGACCATGTCAGTAGTCACCAATGTCGCAGGCTCGACCGCCGTGAAGCAGGGAGGCAAACTCTTCAACATACCGCGCGAGCTTCGTGACGAGATCTACCGTTACCTCGTCCAAGGGATTTTCCTTGCCGGTGGACAGGTGGAGTCGAAATCAAGTCATGTTGAGGGCGAAGAATACTACTCTGAAGTGGTAGCCCCTCCACGCCTTAATCTTGGAGTTCTACAGGTGTCCAAAGCCATCAGTGAGGAAGCCATGGTGGTTCTCTACTCGGAGAGCATCTTTCGAATCCATCTCCTGTTCATGAAAGACAAAGCCAACTTGCTCCCACCCCAAAAAGCTGTTGCACGTATGGAGAACATTGAACTGAATGTGGGTCTGGCCATGCGAATTGGGGACTGGAATTACGGGCCCTCCACAGGCTCGAGCTCGGGGTTCAAGAAGAACATGAAGCAGATTTGGAAAGCCACTTTGGACCGTATCAACCTCACAGACACCACCCACAACACTTTGAGAATCAGGTTCCGGCATTGGACCTTCAACATTGAGCAGGAGCTACCCCAATGGATGTACCGAAGGTTGAAAGCGCTGACGCGATTTCGAACAGTCATTGTGGAGCTTTCGCCTGAGCTTCAGGACCGCATCATTGACGGAGCGAGATGTACTGGAACGAACAAGAGCGAGGGTACCCTCGAGGACTTGGAGTCGAAGATACAAGCTGTCAAGAACTATCTCGAGAGTACATGGGGACCTGCTGTCGTCGGCCACCTGCATGATCCTGGTCATCTATATTATGCCAGAACCCTGAAATTTCATCCACAACGGCATCTGCCTGCGATCTTGAAGGGTCGAGCAGAGGTTTTGAGAGCGGAGGCACACAGATTAGAATTTGAGGCGGATAGAGCTGAGGTGGGGGTACGAGCCACGGAAAGGCTCTGAGTGAGGGAAGCTTCTGACTAGCAAAGGGCACTGAAAGAAGGAACGCTTTGAGCAAAATCAAACGGTGGTTGCGATCAGCTTCGAGCTTGACTTGGGCAGGACAGCTGGCTATCTCCTACAGTTACTGAGAGACAAGTGCATCATTGTTTGTCACCAACAGGGCTTTCTCGTGTCCCGAATGGGAAAGTCAGTGGTTGCTATTGCAGATTACCGATTCCCTCCTGTAGTAATCTCCTAAAGAAACAACCTGTTGTTACACTTCAGGCGTTTAGAACGGACACTTGCTGGTGCATTCACACAAGTCATCATCTAATCAGTACTAAAGAAATCATGACTTCATAACAACCATAATCGAACCCCCTATATCTCTTGGAACCGATTTCGGAATCATTGCCACGAATGTTCTAAGCAGCGAGGACTCCCTTGCAGCTACTAAAACTGTAATCACACAGACTCACTTATGACTGAGCTACTCGACAGCTACGCTTGAGCCAGCCTCTTATGATCAAAAGCAACTACATACTTTCTATTCATATTCCAACGCAAAAGGTCTTCATGACCGGAGTCGAATCGGCATAGTGCAACAGAAAAGAATGCTAGATAGATCCCCACCAGCGTCAGAATAATGTCGTCCAAGCAGTTTTTTCCATGTATATTCTCGAATGGAAGACGATCCCCAAAAAATCTTGTGGCCCCATTAAGGTTTTCTTTCTCTAGACTAATTTTACCGCTAGCTCGCGACCAGGAAATCAAGCACGCATGATTCATTTTCTTCATTCAACAATATTCTCATCCTCTTCAACCTATCGTTTTAAAGCCATCTCAACCACCCGACCCGCTATTCGAAGATAACAGACAACAGCATTCAACAACTACGAGAATATCTGTCTAGCAGCCGTACCGAAGCAGAAGCCTTGCCACTTTGAAAGCTAGCCATCGAACCAGTCAGCAGCCACATATCAGCACATCCACCTTGAGCCTAACCGACACCAACAAGCCTATTGCCAAAGAGCAGAGCTGTGAAAGACGATGGCTACCACCTGTCAGCCACCCGAGATACGCGTCATCATCTTCACCCAATTCTAGAAGCCTTTCGGGTGGTCCTGCCCGCCACTTTACCATATCGAGGGTCTGAAAATGGAGATAGCGGCAATACTGCTACCACTGGATCTGGAGTCAGAAAGGATGGTTCTGAGAAAGCGGGGGAAGCAGCAGCCGTTGCGAGATAGTCCGACGTTGAGCTCTTATGGTATCACTGATGGGTCGGCTTTGGAACTTGAGGTGATAGGTTGCAAACCTGAGTAGTGTAAGGGCCGGGAAAAGAGAGAGAAGGGAAAATGAAAATGGAAATGCAAGAAAGGGAAAGGGAAAGGGAAAGGGAAGGGAAAGAGACTAGGACAAGGAAGTTATCGCTGAATGTAGAAAACAAAATCAGGTACCGATCCAAAATTATAATCACAAAAAGAAGAAGAAGAATTAGCATCAGCCAAAGCCGAAGAAAAGACCAATAACCAGCACCTATCAGCCCGCCCTCTCTTCTCAACCGTACCCTTTTATGCAGCGCCCTCCTCCTACCCATTTACTTCTACCCTTGCTGTCAATCCAATCGCGCGTTAGAAGGTGCCGCGCTTACTATTTATAGATTGCTTATCTTAAAATTGTATTTAGCATTCCCGTGAGTTGATAACTATCTAGGCGCGGGAACGGGGAACATTCGCTTAGTCAGCCCTCGAAAAAGTTTAGTGACCGCGCTTATATTATAATTACGAAATTTTCGCGTAAGGTTTAAATAATTTATAAAATATTAATTATTAAATATTTAATAATACTTTATAAAGATCTCGAAAATTTCGAAGTATTTTTAAGATTATTATAAGTTAATTATAGATTTATCGCGAAAGTTTCGAATTATCTTTTAAAGTCTCGAATATTTCGAGTTAATAATAATAGAATTATCGCGAAAATTTCGAATTATCTTTTAAAGTCTTAAGTTTTTTAAATTAATAATAGAATTATTACGAAAATTTCGAATTAATAATAATAGAAATATTTCGAAAATTTCGAGTTAATAATAATAGAATTATTTCGAAAATTTCGAGTTAATAATAATAGAATTATCTCGAAAATTTCGAATTATCTTTTAAAGTCTTAAGTTTTTTAAATTAATAATAGAATTATTACGAAAATTTCGAATTAATAGTAATAGAATTATTTCGAGAAATTTTAGATAATTATAGAGTTATAACGAAGATTTCAAAGTATTTATAAATTTCAAATTTTCAAATTTTCATAGAAATATCTCGAATTTTTCGAATTATTTATAAATTTATTATAAAAAAATTATATATAATAAAAATATAATAAATAACTAAGTTATTAAATTTATTTAAAAAAATAACGTTTATAATATCTATAAATTATAGATATTTTTAAAAATATAATATTTTATATAATAGACTATAATATTTTATATAATAAAGAAAAAAAGCTTTAAAATATAAAATAAGAATAAAAAAGTAGATTTAATTTTATAATATCTTTATATATATTAAGATATAAAAAAATAATAAATAAATAAAAATAATAAATAAATAAAAATAAGTAAGTATATTAATAAAGAAAAGAATTATTATTTAATATATATTTAAATATATCAAATAGTTATTAATATTTACTTTTAGAGAATTTGAATTTTTTATTAACTCGAAATTATCATTCGAAATTATCGTTCGAAATTATCGTTTAAAATTATCGTTCGAAATTATCGTTCGAAATTATCGTTTATATCTCTACGATAATTTCGAATAAAAAAAAATCGAAAATTTTAAATCGCTTAAATTTTTACTAAGGATAACCGTCTCGGATAATTATTAAACGACTTTAAATTTAAATTTATTATATTTACTAGTTAAATTTATATATATAGAGAATATATTTAATATAAGTTAATAACCGTCTCTTTAGTAATAGTAATCGTTCTTAAAACTCGAATTTTTCGCTATAGTAAAAATTTACGAAAAATTCGCGCTTTACGCTTTTATAAATTTATTAATAGCAGCTCCTATAAAAGCCCTGCGATAGCTCTACGGAAGCCTTACGAAGGCTTTATAGATAGGTATTTAAGTTTAAATAGAGGTGTCTAGCTATTAAGCGTAAACACCCGATATTATTACGCTATTATAGAGCGAAAATATCGAATTCCGATCATTCTAATTATTTGATAATAGGGGGTAGGGCTTAGCGTGTGGATCATCGTCCAGGCGCGCCTGGACGGTTATCAGACCCCGTTGAAGGCCACATTCTAAATCTTTCTATAAAAGTAAAAAAACAACTCCGCTGTCTTGACATGAGGTTATATTTCTACGTCTAACGAGGCTACGTTGACACATAATAATGTAACATTGACTACGAGAGCGAGCTCACCCAGTTGGGTTGTCCAGAGCCATCCTTCGAGCATGGTTTTGCACAGTGATGCTCCAGACTCGAATGCCAGCGCCGCGAGGCAGAAGCTGCTTCCGATGCTCGACGAATTTCGTGCTCTGCTCACGGAGCCCCACCCTTCTCTTAACCCCCGAGCTGGCAGGTGTATTCGAGCGAACAGCTTCAGCGTGGATTTATTGACAATGACCCAACTAGCGCAATCCGCTGATCAGTGCGCACTCCATTATCCGCCTGGGCATCGCGGAGAACGTCCCACCTCAGGGAACCCACCCCCCAGGATCTCGCGACTTGAGAGGCAAAAATTATTCATACCATCAACGTACATCTCCATACTTCTTCACTGAATCTAAAGACATGGGTTGAATGTTTTCCTAGTAGCGTCTACATGATAGTTATAAGAAGTCTAGTTTATATGTAGAAAACTTTCCAATCCGAATTTTCATTTTGAAGTTAATATTTTGAATCCATGGAGTGCGTATAGAATCTGATGCAAAACATTAACATGGATTTTGAGTATGCTAGAGTGAGTATATAATTCCTGAGGCGACCTAACAAGCTAGTATGTAATAAACTCCCGTCATTTGGGCCATACGGGATACGGGCCGCTACATGGGCACCTGCAAGTTTCCGGATGTCACTGCGACATCCAAGTGGGTATCCCGAAATGCAAGCTCCTGCAATGCAACTCCGAGCATGATTTGCGCGAATGGCAATGCGTGCAGGGCCGCAGAAGATTGCGCTGAGGCAAGGAAAGGAAAGGCGGCCTGCAGTGCTATCGATAAAGAGTCAGCGCACTCCCCCATCCCGTTCCTAACGTAATCTATCAAACATAGAGCTACGATTTGGCCTACTAAAGAATTGCGCTGGTGCTTTCATAGTCCTCATTGCAACCTCACTCCTCACTCCTCCTGCCTTATCATAGGCTTGCCAGAGGACCTACACCCTTTCTCTTCCTAGATTTTGTCTCACGCCTTTGCAAGACCGACAATGTTCTTGGGGAACCTCTCTCTCATACAGACAGCTGTCACCTCCGTCTCCATCTATGCCGTTGGCTGGATCATCTATTGCCGCTACTTCCACCCTCTTTGCTCCATTCCAGGGCCCTTCCTGGCATCCTTCAGTCGAGCATGGATCGTCTTCAAGACCGTGAAGGGTGATATGGAACACACGCAGCGAGCATTGCACAAGAAATATGGTAATGACTATCGATGCGCCAATGCAGCTGCTCACAGGCTAACAGATCAGGCTATCTTGTTCGCATCGCACCCAACGAGGTTGCCTGCTCCGATCCCGAAGCCATCCAGGTATAGCATTGTCATGACTACTTCCAAGCCACTTTCTGACAAGTACAGACTATCTACGGTACTAAGACCATTTTTACCAAGGTACCTATCCGTCGCTCGCTTTCACAAGCAAAGCTCACTCCGTCAGACCGATTACTACAATGCTTGGGCCCCACCGAACAACGGATACGTCGGTCATTTCCCTGCACGTGACGAAAAAGAGCATTCTGAGCGTCGACGCATCGTCAATAATGTCTACTCAATGTCTAGCGTCCTCGAATCCGAAAAGGCCATAGACTCGTGCACGCAGCTCTTTTCCGAGACCATGCGCGAATTCGCAGAGCAGAAGTCAGTAGTCGACCTAGGTCTATGGACCAATATGTAAGCGAACCTTGCTCCAGACGCCTACCCGTGGGAGTTTATCTCTCCCCAAGGGATGAACCTGGGGCAGCAAGCTGACATGTCCTGCAGGTACGCCTTTGATGTACTTGGTGAGCTCTTCTACGGCAACAAGTTCGGCTTCATGAGTGAGCGCAAGGACATCGGCAACTACATGAAGGCCATAGACTCTTTACTTCCCGCATTCACCATCGGCGGCACTGTGCCCTCTTACCTGACTAAATTGTACCTTGTATCTACAATTTTGTTCTCGCCATCCGTTCGCGGGGCCTTGGGAGCTGTCAAGCACATTGAAAACGCCTCCGAAGCCGCCGTGAAAAGGCGGAAGCGGAAGATTGAGGAAAACAAGGATGACAAGCGGGATATGCTTCGGAAAATGCTCGAGATCCACGCCGACCGAGGAGAGAAAATCAACTTCACATATCAACACATTTGCGTCGAATCCCACAGCTCGATGTGAGTGACGATTCCCAAGACTTCCCGCATATGGGAAGCGGCATTTTGACGAGACTTGCCCCAGCTTTGCCGGCGCCGACACAACCGCTATTGCGATTAACAGTATCCTGTACCACCTCATGCGCAACCCGGCCGCCTACGAGAGACTGACCGCTGAGGTAGACGCAGCCGTGGCTGATGGCACGCTGTCCATGCCCGTCGCCTATGTGGAAGCGATCAAGCTTCCTTACCTGAAGGCGTGCACCAACGAGGGTATGCGTCTACACCCGAGCGTCGGGCTTACGATGCCACGACTCGTCCCGGGCGGCGGAGCGACCATCTCCGGTTTCCACTTTCCCCAAGGCTACCGCGTCGGCGTCAACGGCGCCGTCGTGCAGTACGACAAGGATGTCTTCGGGCCGGATGCCGAAAAATTCAACCCGGACCGCTGGATCGAGGGTGACGCTATGCGGATGGATAAGACGATGATTCAGTTCGGTGCCGGGCCGCGTACCTGCATTGGCAAGAATGTGAGTGCTGGCTTAGATACCGACATTCGCAACACGCTAACGCGTTTATAAGATCTCTCTGAGCGAGATCTATAAGCTGGTCCCTCACATCGTCAGGGTCTTCCACATCCGCCTCGCAGACCCGAGCAAGGAGTGGAAGACGCATAACTATTGGTTCAACAAGCAGACCGACGTCCATATTTACATCAAAGAGCGGACGTACGGTTTGAACTAGCGAACTCTGTTCACGGGTTGCTGTTGTACAATCACGGGAAAACTTGCGAGTCAGACCGAACCTCCTTCAGAGCTCGGCCGTACCTTTGTCGTGTCAGTGTTGTTAAATCCTGCTCGGTGTGTGATTGACGGAGCTACGCTAGCCAAAACGATGCATCTGCTCAAAAAGATAGCGGTCTCACGTTTAATCCGTATTCAATGACAAGAATAACATGACATTCCATGGCAAACATTCTTATTCAAAGTAGTATAGCACCCATCTCATGGGCAGAATTTCAACAGTGCACCGGATAACAATAAGTATATCCTCTCCCTACTGAACGATGAGTCAACTACAATCACTACTAACATCCTCAACCCCTTCCCACAACCTTCACCACCACCCTTACACCCCCTATCCACCAACCCACCCCCCTTACAGCATCCCACCGCCCCGCACAGCGCCATCGCTATCCGCTCACACTCTCCCTAACCACTTACTCCAAGCAGCCAACGCATCACCCATTCGACCCCTACCTGATCCCGAGACGCAGTCACCCTGATAGTAGAAGAAGAAACGAAAGTAGGGAATATACGCACTAAGGGCTTACCTGTAGAAGGTATATGTATATATGTAGATAACAAATGCGGATAGCAGTGAAGTTCGCGTATTTGAAACATATCAAACGGAAGGAGAAGAAGAAGAAGAAACCCCCCTACCTCCACTAGCGAAAAGATATATTCCAAAGGAACCAAACCGGATACAAATAGCTCCGAAAAATCCTCTATCGATTGATTGGTATGACATTTCCAAAACCCCGCCGACGACAACGGCCGTCGGATCTACGAACAACACACAGACAAACACCCTACCGACAACAGACCACTATTCCCCCCGGTATGGACGCCGTACCATCTTGGACACATAGACAGACAGACAAACAAATCCCGTTCTCGAATCCGGAGATACCGAACGAATGCACCCATATACGGATGAGAAGGGAAGGGGTATATGAACCCAACACAGCCGCGTTCTCGCGCACGAGTGCACGCGGGGTGTGTCGTGTCGTATCGGGCTCGCGTTGCGATTCCAGACGGGGTGGATGCGTTAGGAGGACGGAAGGAAGGAAGGAAGGAAGGAAGGACGGACGGAAGGAAGGAAGGAAGGAAAAGAGGGAGGGATCCCACCGTCCCCCAACCCGATGCGGAAGATGAGATCAGAGACAAACACAACGGAACGGAAACGGGGGAATGGGGATCCATGTGGAGTCGGGGTCGGAGTCGGATGTCCTACCTGTATTGCCGTACGGAGGTGGAATCGGATAATCTCGCGCGCCGGAACGTGTATATTCGCTGTTTTCTGACTATGGGGCTGCGTGACTGGGTGGCTGGCTGTGGAGAGGTTGGGTATGTTGTTAGGATAATTATTGAGGTTCGAAGATGCCTGCAATGGCTCGGTGGTTGATGATGCAGTTTGGGCGATCCGGCGCCAATAGCTTTATAGAGTGGAGAGTTAGTGTGGGTGGTCGAGGCTCGAGGATCACTGGTTGGTGTTCTGTCACTCGACTTGAACCGCTTTGGTACTGGGAATGTTGTGCAATAAAGTGTGGTAATTGTCAGGTGAATTGATTTCTGCAAGGATCGGAAAAAAGCTATGTACGATACCAAAATGCCAATCCATACTTCCGTGGCTGTCCATCCTTACATGTTGTAAATGCTCGTCGGCGGTGCGTAGCCCACCAAGCGATCGTTCTCTCCAGGCCTGAACTTAGCCTCCTTGGAGAACTCGTGAGCGCTCTTCGACAGTTCTTCGACCTCGGAGAATTCAAACTCTTTCTTGCTCATGAGGTCGTAGACGGCCTTGGGATACTCAGGGGCGATGTTGTAGATCTGGGCCAGATACTTTTTCTATACGACATTTAGCGATCCCTTCAGCGATAGCGTATCATCAGCGGAAATTTCATACCTGAATGATCGGATAATTCACGCGCGAGATCATTTTTGCGGTGTTCTGATGAGTGTGCTCTCTTGCAGTATCATTCATGACACGCCTATAAAGTTCCGTGGCCTGCGCATATTCACTCTTCTTGCCTTCATGCGCGTAATGGGACTTCCTCGAAACGACGTTGTCGGCGACGGTGTAGGGCGCCTCAGCAGTGTCAGGTCGGAAGGCATTCTTGAAGCTGTTCGGCACGTATTGCTTGTTACCGGCATGGTTGGCATCGACGCGCATTGCTCCGTCAAAGTTGAGACTGGAGTAATTACCGGCCATGAAGGGGCAGTTGACGGGCACCTGATGGAGATTGACGCCAATGCGATGGTACTGGGCATCACGGTAAAAGAACATGCGGAATTGCAGAAGCGGGTCGGGGCTATCTTCGATGCCCGGCACCATGCTACCAGGGCTGAATGCAGCTTGCTCCACGTCCCGATGGTAGTTCTCCGGGTTCTTGTTCAGGACTAAGCGCCCGAACTCGTGCATCTGATGGTGTCAGCCGATACCAAGCTCGTGGGCATTGGGGAAAGTACCGGAAATTGACCTCTTGGCCACACTTTCGTAACATCAAAGGGGTCAAAGCCCAGCTTGTTGGCATCGGCTTCATCGGGCTCCATGATCTGAACATGAGCCTTCCAGACGAGCTCCTTGCCTTCTTCCATGGCATCCCAAAGCTGTCTTTTGGAATAGTCTGGATCTTCGCCGGAGATTCGAATCGCCTCGGGTTCGGTGAGCTGCTTCTGTCCGGTCTCTGCGAGGAAGTGGTATTTGATATACACGAATTTCCCATCCTTGTTCACCCTGCCTTCCATGAATAAGTGATACACTGAACGGGAGGGGAAGATCATTTACCATTTGAATGTATGGCAGCCATAGCCATGTTCATGGATCCATCCATCAGGAGTCCCATGGTCACTGAAGAACATCAATCCAGCATGATTGCTAGCATCCGTGTTAGCTGAAACTTGAACACGGACAATGTTCCCTACCCTTCTGGTGTACAAGCCAAAAGGTCGAAGGTGGCATCGTAATCCAAGAGGAAGTTTCGCGGGTTACGTGCTTGAGATCGGATGACATCTGGTCCCTGGATTGGATCACGACAGAAGAAGATAGGCTGAAGATCAGTCAAACAATGCAGCACTTCGAGTTTCGGCAACCCCATACCCAGTTTAAGCCAACGATATCATAGTTGCCTTCTCCTGTATAGAACTTGATAGCGAAACCTCTCGGATTGCGAGCTGAGTCGGGAAACTCGCGTCCAAGGGTGACGGTGCTAAAGCGGATGAAGATTGGCGTCTTCTGGCCCGCGCTCTGAAGGAAATTCGCTTTGCTGCAGGCTTCAACATCAATATCCTTTTCTGTCCACCACGCCTTCACATTTCTCAATGCAAATGGAGGGCCACCAACGTCAGATTGGACATATCCTTGGTGCACTCGAAATGCCCAAATGCCCCGCTACCACAGGGATGCACCATGCCTAACCAAAATAGGTTAGATGGTTGTCGTCAGGGCACCTGAGAACGTCATGTCAATTATGGTGACGAGATGACTCACGTTCGAGATTCTTTGATCGGTTGAAGGTCTGCTGCTTTTGGAGCAGGAAAGTATCGCTCACGAGCGGAAGGCCACCAACGGTCTTACTATGAGCTCTGAAGATCTTTCAGCCATCATCTCGTAGGACTTGAGTGACGTAGGGAGGATGCTCACGGGTCAGGCCATGGAATAGCCTCATTGTTGGTGAAGTAGGCAGAATCATCCTCTCGCTTGCCGCCCAGGTTCACGCCGGAAATCTTTGCTGCAATCTCAGCCGGACCCTCGTTCGCACTCATGAAAAGAGATGTCTTGTTTATTCGAGGGTCACCACCTGCAGCTCCAATGGCTGATGCTGTGGCTGCCAATGGATGCTGGATGGGGTTGCTTCCTCCTGCGTTTGCCATGGTGACGATGAAGGTGTGTTTTCGAGATGTTGGAATATGTAGGAATTGAAAGTAAGAGGAAAGGCTGAAGTAAATGGAGAGGCAGCCCGGCCGTAGTATGTAAAGTATACATGCTTTTAGGGATGCGTCATTTACGGTATTGAGTAAAAGCTTCGACTTGCAAGTGCAAAGGTAAAGCAGAAATACCAGGCTCTCATAGGTCCCCGCAAATTCAAAAAAGGGTCTCAAATGACATCATGACATCATTTTACGCCCAGTATGGAATGGGCGTCTTAAGCTCTGAAGCCGGTGCATGTCAATACCTAATTTCGTCCTAGTTGCAACAATGAATGTGGGTATTGGATGCGAGACGATGATGTAAGGTAAAGTACCTTAGATAACACGCCCTGGTTTCATGACACCTGTCTTGGACTAGTCAGAACCATATTTTCAACCTAAGGTACTTTACCATACTTTACAGATACCCTCGTCTTCACAGCACTCATTATCTCTGCCTCACCACCTCACTCCTTGAAGCTACTGGGCCGCGAGCACTGCAACCACCACATATCCCATCAATATCCAGATCTACCCACCATGGTCTAAATATCTATTACGGGTACCTCATCGTCAGCATTGTGTACAACAAGCAAGACTGTTCCGGACAACCGAGGCCTTGGAACCCTCGGTACGCTTCCTCGAGAAATCCGAAACGAGATCTCTCGATACCTTGTCAAAGGGCAGTTTGTCCTTTATGAAACCTCAAATGATTATGATGTGAATAGGACCGCAGTACAACAATTCAAACCATCGTCACACATGATGAAGCCACGTGGATCTCTGATTCGGAGAACGTCTTTCGCTATTAAATCGACCACTTCATCGACTGGACCCCTTACCCCTCAGTACCAGTGTCGGATCACATCATGAAGGTCGAAGTCGATTTCTACTGTTTTCAAATGTGGAAATTTTAATCTTAGTGCTCGCAAACAGTGAGGCCATACAGAGATAACGCACGCACAAGTAGATATATGATTGGGCATATCCAACACTGGGGCAGCTAAGACTTTTCTGGACATGTAAATAGCCTAGAAAAAGGCCCCCCAGCGCTAGAAAAGCTCTCATGTCTGAGCGACATGCCCTGAAGTGAAATGAAGCTATATATAGGTGTGGGTGGGAGGGAGAACAATGACATGGCTCTGAAAGAGAAAAATTCGAATGACGAGCCCACTACTGGTGCAGTGGCCATACAAATAGTACTCGCCATGGCCACCTGTCTCACTACTATCGCATATCGCATAATGATGGAACGGTTGATCAAACAACTACCACCGCTATGGCCTCAGAATGGACCCACTAACCCACAGTCCCACTGTTGCGATCCTTGGCTGGTTGAAGACAACTTGAAGACTCTCGCTATCTTGGACAAACTCACCGGTCGGGGTAGCCTGCGTAGCACTTTGCGTCTCAGATTCAACCTGTCAGCCCTCGACTCTGAAGTCCAACGAAAGCTGTCTGATCACTTTTTCAGAAGACTGAAGGTATTTGTTGCTTTTCGCAGGATCATTATGGACGTCGGTCCCAGCCCTGAACTCAACAAGGAGGTGGGAAAGATGAAGTCCTGCCGACAATGGACCCTGCTTCTATGCGCCACGTGGATCCTCACACCTTCCTCAAATCCCATTCGCTCGAGCATATGCGGGCAAATGCCAGCCCCCAAGCAGAAGAACTGCAGCAGGAGATGAACAAGCTGAGTGAAAGACTGGAGGATAAGGTTGGAGCGATAGGAGTGCCCGAACATCCAGCTCTACCGACGGCAGGATTGTGAGACAGAAGCCGCGTTGGCGGTAGCTGAAGGTCCAAGGTACCTTGAGCCGAGTTCATTGGAGATGAGGAACTGATTTGTGGAGTGGACGATGCTAGAACATTAAGCATCTTATGGTAGACCTTATGGAAGCAAAGATCTCATCCCGTTCATAAAACCTCCTCTTCTTGTATGACTGTATGAAACCCAGAATAAAGAAGCCATGCGGAATCACAGAGCGGCCTTTCTAAGGCATCACCGAACGAACCTTTTCACGAAATCATGACGGCCCAATATCATAAACACCCATTCAGTCTGCCGTCTGACTTGATATCAAGCAATAGCTGTCTCCATATTGTCAGGGTCTCTCCAAAACCCTACGAGAGACCTCCATTCGTCGGTGACCGTGTTTCCGCACGACGCCAGCGTTCTTTTCAAGTTCTTGAACAGGGCACTCAGGTGATCAGATTTGGCTTGGCCTACAGGACCAAGAGTCTTCAGCTCGATAGGCGCGGGGTGAAGTTGCTTCAATTTCTTCCGCCGAGACACGAGGTTTCTTACTGTCATGACTCCCGAGCCGAGGCAACCACCGATCCTTTGCAAGGCTTGGAAGGAAAAACTGGACATCTTTCGAATCGGATTGTGGGGGGCCTTTGAGATGAGAGCCGCAGCGATAATCAGCCCGGTGGCGGCCCAGGGGCTCCAAGCGCCAATGTGTTTCGCAGATTCACTCTGGGGAAAACCCGACAGCAGCACCTCCATCGCGACGATGTTGAAGACGAACAGAAGAACGCAAAAGACAGTCGAGAGGACAGCCCATAGGTAGGCTATGGTCGCGAGATTTTAGCGGTCCTTTTCTGCCCTTGTCCGCCGCTCCTTGACGCCGTCCCGTGCCTAGAGCTACTCCCAATCTTAGGTATCCTGGCATGTCTGACGAAGTTGTAGATCACCATCCTGCATTGACGTGGACTTCTCCTACCAAAGCACATAGCCCAGATGCCTTGGAGCAACACGATAGGCCCCATTGCGGTGCCAACTATGAGGTACAAGTCGTAAAAGTGCAAACCATAGATCATTTGATAAGTGTTTTCGATCTCATGGAGAGACTGTAGTTGGAGATCGGAGAGCGAGCGGAAGATCGCTGCTGGTTGAGCAAACAGTCCCTGCGCGCAAGGATCCACACACCCGTTATCGCCAATCCACTCCGCATCGATGAGAAAGTAAGGAGAAGATTTCGCCAGATAGGGGCCTTGACCAGCAGTAAGACCCTGGCCAGCCGTAAGATTCACCGTGGTCCTTGGTGGCACGCAAACGACCGTCTTCACGGTGCTCTCGTTATATGGAGTAAAGCCATACCAAATCTTCCCCAGACACAGGATAAATCCCAAGGTGACCCAAAACGCCCAGTATATGATGATCATCCTTGTACCAGGTCTACCGCCATCGTGGGATCCTAGATTCCTTAGCGTGCTCGACCAGTTGACCAATGGAACTGCGATGAGGCATGATGTGCTCAATATGGCGCAAAGAGCATAGAAATCGAGTTCGCCATAGGAGGGTCCAAACGAAACTAGCATACACATATGAGCTGCTGCAGTGCCCGAGTATGTCAATGCAGCTGCTAAAGCACCCGCAATCAGCCACTCGGAATGCGAAGACAGAAGGCAGAACACTATCGTGCAGTAGAATAGGTCCCGTGGAAGACGGCCGTAGTTGCCCTGGAAGGTGAATTAGTCAAACGTACTGGCTCAGTGAGACGATCACCGTACGGATATGGGGTACCAGCAACGTGTGATAATGTGGGTCCCGCTGAGGTTTACGTCGAAAGCTGACAACTGAGTGAAAGTAGGTGCATTCGGTATTGTATTCATATCTCGAAAACCTGACAACCTTCTCACGTATGAAGACTCGTTATAGGAGCCAAGTGCTAGAATATCTAGTTGAGATTGTGTAGGAAATAAGGAAGGACGAAGAAAGCAAAGGACGAAGAAAGCAAAAGACGTGATATGAATTACTTGACAAGGTGTGTGTGTGGCAGAATATAAGAGATGAAACGTGCTCTGCAAGATCCGGCCGTAAGGATCTTCAGCCTCTCAGCACTAGTCCATCTTTTGTTAAGGTATGAAACTCGTAGCCCTTCTTTCAGCCAATCGCAACTCAAGAACGAGAAACACTCACAAGAGAACTTGTAATCTCGCACTGATTCTTCTCCGCCAGAGGATGGAGATAATGCTTCGTATGTGCATCATACCACTCGGTTTCACCCCAAAATGCAAATCAACCACCACCCAAAGTAGTAGATAGCTATAGCAATATATGCCGAATAGAGATGAAAACCAATGGAAAAAAAAACTTGTTGTAATTGTTCTTTTGTATCGAGCTGTGATATCGGAAATTGCATATCCTAGGAGGTTGCATTTGGAGGCGGAATCGACTATGATGTCTTATCACAGTTCCTCCAACCTACAAAGCTAAATAGTCAGCCGTTATACTCCATCACAACAATTTCGGACATCGGCGGTTCGCCTGTCCTACTTTTTCAATAATCTAGTGTGACGGAAGACTCGGAATATCCCGGTTTCCACAGGCTATGTTTCCTTCTTGATGCTTCAGGTGAACTCACAATCCGTTCAGAGCGATGGAATCTAGAAGCTTGTGACTTTGAATCCTGCTCTGTACACGTCAAATCATGTTGTGACTCTGTGGAGCCAGAGCGTAGATGATCACGCGTGGATGACCGACCAGAATCGTTACAGTACACTAGCGTGTATTACTAGCGGCCCTCTTCAATACCTTAATCCTCGGGCTAATTACCGAATCATACCCCGAAATTATGAATCCTTACCGGTATGATTCGGTAATTTACCAAACTTGCCATAGTGGCCTATGTCGAAATTTGATGCAGGGGCATGTCGAATATGGCCCCCACGCTTCCCAGCCACCGTGTTGATCAGCCACCTGATTTTGTACTGTATTTAGGACCTGGCCCCGGAGAGGTCTGGAGAATCAATCCGTCCGTTCTACACATCACATACCTAATAGTTTAACAGCCTACTTGAAGATGCAGCTAGGTGCCTACTTTATGTCTATACTACTAGGTGTCTATGCCTGTGTAGACTATTAGGAGTAGGAGTGTGTGTGAGTCACAGTGTTAGTAACTCAGCTAAAAAGCCTGGTCCCGGGGGTGTCTACGCTTGACAGCCAGACACCCCTATTTGGACCTAAATAAGGCCCCCGTAGGGCTGTCGCAGGGCCCCCGTGGGGGCTGCTGCTAACACACAGACTGGGTGTAGACAGGCCGGGGGGTCAAATTTAGCCCACTCGGCTTTCTATGGTCGGATGGCCCAGGTCGCGCATTTCCCCTTTTGCGATTTTTATCATGAATGGCAAATTACCGAATCATACGGCAAGTAATGACAAATTACTGAATCATACCCCTAGGGGTATGATTCAGTAATTATGGGTATGATTCGGTAAGGATTCCTTAGTTTCGGGGTATGAATTAGTAATTAGCCCCTTAATCCTCTCCGAAGAGTTGCATCAACGTCCTGTGACACGCAAATCTGGGTACGTTTCCCGTATCCTTTGTTCTGTGCCCAGATCTGTTTCCTTCCATTCTACCTGATAGGTCACGCACCGACACCGGAGACCTGAACGTGGTTGCGACCAGCAAAGTACTGTCTCCAACACCTGCGAACATCTCTCCGCCATAGCTATATCTTCCACACCACTCGGTTCCTTTGACCTCCCTCACGAAATCCGCGACGAGATCTATCAGCACTGCTTCTCGGGCCGCGATTCCGTCGTGGAAGGTAACGAGATAGGTGATACTATTACGCTGCTACGGATTCCAATCACACGTGGCCCTGAAGACACACATCCTCCAAGTTAACGCCGTTCGGGAAGTAGCCGAAATATCGTCGTATCGACATGGTTCCTTCACGACCTACCCACACCGCCAGTGTGTGTCAGGACTTAGTCAAGCGGTAGCGAACAGAATACTCGATGTACGCTTTTTCACGGACGTTGACCGCATCAAAAACTCGGAAACATACTACTGTGGCTCGGTTCTCCAGAAATTCGGCGGGAATGGTATCGCGGGAAAACCCTGCTGCATCAAGTTTGATGCATCGTGGTTTCATGGGTGGGATCGTCGCTCCGCCTTGCATACCTGCTTAGTCGATGCGCTGAAGTCTTTGACTGGATTTGAGGCGGTCATCATTATGCTCGACTGTGCGGGATCCTCTTCCCTATACGCTTCACTTGCTGAAACATTTCAAGGCGAGAGGCAATCAGAGTGGCCACTGGTGGAGTAACCAGAGCAAAAGTCTTTGTTGTTCCTTGAAGAGAAAAGGGAAAACCTTGGGGCAAGCTTGGGGCCTACGCTTGGAACTGGGACAATCTAAGATCAAGGTCAAGTGTTTTTGTTTTGAAATCCCGTCCTGGTTATCATTTGAGCAGACAATATGATTATTTTCACTTAGACGCTTTCGACCAAGGCAAATCCCAGTATAGAGGCACACATTTTCCAGATCCTTCCTGCCATCTCGAGCAGCATTCGCACCGACTTGCATCAAATCGAGAGCGGAGGACTGCGCTCGCTGCGCGAAAAGGTATCGTCACATCCAGCCCCTTCATTTCTTAGATCAAGGCCAATTGAAAAAAAAAACGGACTATGGCCAGGGCCTCTAAGACCGCCGGCTTCTTTGGCCCTCCCTGTGAAACTCGCAATGAGGTCCACCGATATTACTGTTCGGGGAGCTACCTTTTCCCCAGTATTGCCATAGATCACGAGATTCGTGGTCCCATTGTACTGCTACGCGAGCTGACGACTCGTGGTCTTCCAGATCTTGCAGAAGATGCGTTTTGAAGTCGAGGAAACTCTCGACCAAGATAATATCTACTTCCTGTTTTCAGACAACACAGTTCCATCAGGCCTGTTTCAAGAGTTGGGGGATCGGAGTAGCAATCTCAACGTTACCGTCGACATCACGAGCTTTACTGTCCAGGGAGAGCCGAACAGC